ATGAGGTGCCTACGGCCATCCCACCCTGGCAACGCCTGATCTCGTCCGATCTGGGAAGCTAAGCAGGGTCGGGCCTGGTTAGTACTTGGATGGGAGACCTCCTGGGAATACCGGGTGCTGTAGGTTTTTGCTGCGCCCCTTCTGCTTCCCTCTGCTCCCGCGCCATCCGCCTTGCGGCGGGACAACGGCCGCTTTTGGCTTTCGTGCCAGCCTGCCCTTAGGCTGTTTTCCGGTCCCCGTGGAATTTCTTTGCGTTTTCCCTCTGTTTTCTCGGCTCTTTATTGCTTCTGCTTTGTCCTTTCACACTCGTCTTTCCTTCTTCTCTCCGTTGTCTCGTCTGCCTTTGCCTTCCCTCTCCGCAGCAGGCACTACTCAAAGAGCCCCGCAGTGTCTGCAGGGGGCCGTGCCATGCTCTGCAATGCCCACTGCAGGATCCCGTCCCACGTTCCCTGGGGGATCGCCCGCAGGGGCGCTGTCAGTCTCCGTTTGGACTCCACTCTCAGCCTCCCTGCTTTACCCCGTTTCTCATCGTCCCTCCCAAGTCCAGCGAACTCCTCCGGAGCTTCCCCACGCGCCCAGCAGCGCCCTGTGGATACGCTCCGGCTGGGCTCCGTGCGTCTTACCTCACTCAGGAGGGCGTCCAGCTCTTCCCTGCCGGACGTGGGCTCGCTGCTCGCTGCGCCGCTCTCCAGCTGCGGGAGGAGATGTGTCACCCCCGCCTGCGCTCATGCGCTCCTTTCGCTCCTTCACGGCCCGCAGGGCTGTGCTCTTCCCCCTCCGGTGCAGCTCCAGCGTCCCGCCCGTCTCTAGCTGCCTGGTCCCTGCCCCGGCCCCCGTTCCTCGTCCCTCGGCCTCCTCCCTCTCTTCCTCTCTCTCTGGCTTTTCCTCCACGCGCCTTCACCCAGCACCACCTGCATTCCGCGCACCGGTACCGGCCCTGGCCGTGCCAACCTTTGCTGCCTGAAGCACGTGGGTAGCAGCAGCTGCGGTGCTCTCCCGGCTGCCTGCTTCTGGGGTGCCCACACAGGAGCCGCAAAGCCACAGCCCTCTGCAAACCAACGAGGTATTCACAAGCGCTCTGAGCGGCAGGAAGGAATGGAGAGGCTCGAGCTGTGCCGTGGGGGCAGGCGGAGGGGACTCACCCGGGGTCCCCGTCACGCGTCGGGCAGCGTTGGGGTGCGGAGATCCCGGAGAAACAGCGGCCGCAGGTGCTGCCGTGGCCGCCTCCCGGCTGGGCGCCGTGCTCCTCCTTCTCTGCGACCGCAGGGAGCTGCTCCGCAGCCGCGTCTGCCTCCCGCAGCCGGCCCAGCTTGGCCACACACGAGCTGCACTGCCACGTCCCGCTGCACGACCCGGCACGGCAGTGAGGGGCAGCGGGGCCACGAAGCGCGGCGGAGCCCCATCCCGACGCCGGGCTCACCTCGGGACACGAGGCAGCGGGGGCACCAGGCACGGGAGGTGGAAGGCCCTGGGACAGCCGTCGCAGCAGATGAGCTCTCCGCCGTCCCCGCACACGGCACACTCATCCTCGTTGTCCTACCGTGGGCGTACAGGGGCTCGCCATCGGGATCCGGGCACCTCCTGTCCCGTCACCTCCCATCACAAAGCCAATGCACGGGCTGTATTTGGGGCGGGGATCTGGCGCTCCCAGGCTGCTGTAGGGCACTGACGGTGGGGCGGCTGAGCCGCAGGCTGGCTGCAGTGGGGCGGTCGAGAGGGATATAGCAGGAACACCCTGATGGCACCACTTTGTCTTTTGGGCTCACCTGGTAGGGTGCTGGGTCCTGGCTGTGCACAGGTACTGCTGGCAGGTGGCCCTGGGCGGTCACACATATCTCCCCGCTCTGTGAAACAAGGTTCTTTGGGGACCCATCTGCTGGAAAGGGAAGGCCCCTGCTGTTGTGAGGGTTTGTGCGGCTGTGTGTGTGTGTATTGGTGAGTGGGGACCGTACACTTTGGGGTGCCCTTGGTCGAGAAGTAGGCTTCAGGCTGCGGCTCTTGCTCCTGGCCCCCAGCTCGTCACCAGCAGCTGGGACACAGAGCTCATCCCTGGCTCTGCTGCCCGCCTTGGTGCTGCCTGGAAGAGAGCAGAGCGCTGCTCCAGCAGGTTCCATCTCTGTCACCCCTTTCCATCTCTGGGGCCTTCCCAAGGAGGGGTGCTCCTGATTTGGGGGCTGAAACTTAGTTTTTGGCAGTCTTGGGGCTGCCCCATGCCTGCACTTACCCAGCTTCTGTGCTTGTCTGATAAGGACAGGCTTTGCCTCGATAGCCCCACAGGTGACAGGCACTGACAGCACCATGACCCCCCTCTGCACTGAGGCAGCCTGGAAGCCTGTGGGCCGGGGGGCTCAGCCAGACACTAGGTTTCTACTATGGCCCCAAGAAGTGCACGGGCAAACACTGCCCCGTTGCTGCCTCTGGTTTGTCTGGCCCACTTCTCTGCCCAGCCTGACGGCTCTGGGGCTCTAGTGGCCTCACCCAGACTGTCACCACTCAACTGGGATTACTCTGGGAAGAAATTTGTCCCCCCAAGTGCCAGGAGATTGGCACTCACCACTAGTACGGGGTGTGCGTGCGGTGTCCACGCTCTCTGGCTTCTTCACAGTCTTTGCCTTCGCCAGGAGCCCTAGTGGTGTTGGGGGAGCTGTCACCATGGTGGGTGACACCACGAGTGCTCCCCTACATCTGTTCCCCACATACACCCCACACTAGGCCTCCATACCAGGGCTGGCGGTGTGCCGTGGTGAGGGTTGTGCCACCCGGGCCCCATCCCGCTCCTCAGCTTTTCTCTTGCCTTGGGGTCTGTGTGGGGTCGGTCCCATGGAGCTGGGGGACGGGCATCTGCTGCTGCACTGCTGCCCAAGGTCCACCTCTGCAGCAGGGACAGAGAGGGGCACAGTGAGACCACTGCTCGTGTGCAGCCCCCAAGGGTGCTGACCCTTCCAGCCTGGCCTCCTACCCGCGGGGAAGGCGCTGTGGAGGGGCCGGAGCCGGGTGTAGCGCTCCAGGTTGTAGTCCTTGAAGAGGACAGCCCAGAAGTCACGGACGGCGGCGGCGTCGCGGCCCAGCAGCCAGGTGAGCAGGGCATGGAACGCGCGGTGGGAGCCCTCTCGCTCTGTCTGGCTCAGCGTCTCCTGCCGATGCCACCGACAGCCGTGGACGCACCCGCGAGTGCCACCAGCTGGCCCCAGTCCTCACCATACGGCCAGGACCCCCCGCACGGCCTCACCTTGAAGATATGCTCAGGGACGATGTCGTGGTCGGCAAGGCCGTGCAGCAGCGGGAAGACGTCATCCACCGCCATGGCGATCTCCGTGCGGTGCAGTTTCAGCAGGTGCCGCAGGTCTCTGTCCAGCCCCAGCCCGGCCATGCTGCTGCAGCCCTGCAGCCAGTCCTGACTCTTCCCTTTAATATACACCCCGGTTGCTGGAAACTCATCGGGCTCCCCGCTCATTTCTGTACAAGGCCACGTGGCGCGGTGTCAGCCACCACTAAGGGTGAAGGACACCCAGCGTCACGGTGTCCACCCCAGGAAGGCTGAGGAGGGGGAATTAGGCAGATTGCTGTTACAGCCAGCCCCCACCTCCCTGTCCCTGCGGTCAGCCAGGCATCATCCCAAAATTTCTGGACTTTCCACAGCACCTGCTCCTCTCATCCAGAAACTCAGCCGTATGTGAGAAGTAATGCCCTGCAAGTGACGGACAACAGGAGTGCTTGCTGTGGTTACACCTCCTGCACAGCACTGCCTGCACGCGCCTGGCTGAAGCGCGGCAGCTGATGAACACCCAGAGAGGAAGTGCTGATGCTGAAGAAAGTGCAAATGTGTCTGGGTGCAGTTACTGAAGGGCTGTAATGCAGCATGTGAAAATGACAAGTAGTGTTATGAACACACCTGGGGATCACCTGGCTGCATTCGTTGCTCTGTAATTGCCTGCTATGGGAAATTGGGCAATAAAGTGATTTCAGTGGAAATGCTAGGAGCCGGGGGGGGCAGGTAATTGGCACTCTGTGAGTGCCTCGTGTAAAGAAGCCTGGGGGTGATGTGATGTAATAGACCTGGTTGCTCCATCCCAGGAGGAGTCTGGGACTGCCCCAGCAGAGGTTTCCAGCCGCTGTCCAGAGCCCTGTTCCTGCTGCAGGTGCTGTGCACAGCCATTCCTACCTGCGGGGCAGCGCCTGATGCTGCTTGCATAGCCAGCACAGAGCAAGAGGGACCAGAAATGGGACCAACAGGGAGCCATCCCCGCTGTGAAGAGCAAGGTGGTGTGGGTAAGGATGTGTGTCTGGAAGTACAGCACAGCTGTCCAACCTTTTGGCTTGTTTGGGCTGCGTTGATTGAATGGGAATTGTCTTGGCCTGCATATAAAATGTATATTAGAGTTAATGTATGTATGTAACTAAACTTATTTTTTAATTAAAACATAAAAAACAGAGCAACAAAGACATAAAGCTGGTGGGATGTTGGATCTTGTTGTGGAACTAATGCCTCAGGCTGGCCCCATGGTTGCCCTTCCCAGTGAGCTCTCCCATGTTCATCAGAGATTTTTGGTGAAATATTATTCTTCCTGTGCTTCATCCTTGGCAATAATCATTCCGAAATGTTCATACTGCCAAAAAGCAATGACCTTGTTGTGAATCAAGGGATATTTCTCTTATTTCCCTTTGGTAAGAGAGGGCTATGGAAGTCTGGGAAAAAGATACATTTTTTCTTTGAGTTGAATGTCTGATTGCAACTCTACATATTCCATCTGAATATTCACACGTAATGTATTTATCTCAACTGAAACTGGGGTTGCAAATATTAAAAAAAAAATTGTTTTTGGAATTCTTGAAACCTATTCCCAGGTCCCTTTATTCCAACAGAAAGTACAGATGCATATTTTTTGCTGTTCACAGGCTGTGTTTAGCCAGTGGATCACAATGCATGAAATGATTTGCCATCAGTTGGGTTTGCCACAATTTGTGTCATTTAAAAAGCTGTTCCTGTCTGAAACAGCACAGCTGAGTTCATTTTCACCTTGAAGGCGCACGCTTAACTCATTTAAATGAGTGGTCAAACCCACCAAAAATGCTGAATCTGTGAGCCATTATCTGTCCTCATGTTGTGGTACAAATTCCCCTTTGGGGAATTTCATAAAGTGTTTGATTTCACTTCAACAAATCATAACATCATTTCTGCATTTTACCCCCACTCAGCCACCTTCCTTCCTTCAGAAACAACGTCCCCACGATCAGCATCCATTCTTTTAAAGATCTCCTGGAACTGGCAGTGATTCAGTCCCTTGGGCTTTATGAACTTCACAGCTTTGATGACAATTTGCACAATGTTACCCATTTTTCAAGCTTTGGCACATAAATTTTCTGGACATGCAGTGCGGTGATATTTCACCCAATACGAGTTGCTGACAGCAGTTTCATTATCTCCTATTAATTGTGTAAGTCCCTGGCTGTTTTCTTGTAACCAACCACTGCCAGGGCACCAACAGGAGCTGCACCAGATATGCTAACAAAGGTTGAAGAGAAACACTTTTTAATGTAATTTTTTACTGCTTCATACAAATCAAGAGATTGAGTTGTGTCTTCAGTGGCACCAAAGTTGTTGCTTCAGTGATCCTGTGTTTGTTATTAGCACCTCTAAGGAAAGTGGCAAGTTGAGCATGAGTACTTTTATCTATTGCCAAAGCAAAACATTACAAACCAGCAGCTTTACTCTCCAAATTTCCTTAGATTTTCCTGTTTCTTCAGTTCACCTGGCCAGTCAGGTGGGACAAACTGATGTTAGAGAAATCAGGACACGCTGTATGGCAAGCATGGCAGATACATCACTTAATAAACTCTATCAATGGTTTTGAGATTTTTGTAGTCAGCTTTTAACCCATTTGAGTTTTAATTTTTTTTTTAAGATATGTAGTTGAGATGACAGACTTTTATTCAGTTCGGCTGTTCTGTCTTTACAAAGCATTCCTCGATATGCATCGAGTTTGGCAGCACATTTCTGCATAATGCCCTTTCAGATTTCAATCTTTGGAAGCTGACACGATTTCCTTGTAAATGAAGCACAGTGCTGTATTATGTGTCAGCACAAACGATGTGCCCTCCTCGTGTCCCAGGACAGAGCCACGATGGCACAGCAGTGGTGTGGGCTGTGCTGGGCTCTTTGCAGGTCACAGGTCGGATGTGCCTGAACTGGAACGTGGCTCTGCTGCCTACAAAGCCCTGCCAGCAGATGGTGGCTGCTGTCCAGAAACTTGAGAAGAATAACAAGACAACACCCTCAGCAAGGACAGGAAATACCCTCATCCATTTCTGGTTAATAACACATTCACATGAAGAAACTCTTTCCCCAAAGCTCTTCTTGGGATTCAAAGTGGTTTTTTCCCTTGGCAGCTGCGGTGTGGGAGTCAGGCCAGTACTGCTTCCCTGTGTCCCACCTTGCACTCGCACAGCCTGTCACCTTCAGCCCACATTAAACTGCCCAGCACCTCCAAGACAAGGCTGTGACACAACTGCAGGGGCAGCTCTCACACCCACAGCTACAAAGAGGTGCTCCCTCGTGCATGGGTGCAGCCAAGCACAGCTGAGAGCTGTGTGCCCACAGCACTTTGCTTGCTGGGCTTGACTGGACTTGTTTTGAATTCCAACTTTGTGACTGCACCTGTGCTTTGAATCACAGACAGATTGTTTTCCACATCCAGCCAGCTCAGCAGCGCAGTAATTTGCATTTTAGCTGCTTTTTTTGGTGTTTCTTCCCCTCTCTGAGATGCTAGGCAAGAGGCAGAGCAGGGGCTGCCAGGTGCCATATGAAGAGGCATGTACTTACTGGGAGATGGGATGGTTATTTCTGTAATACCTTGCTTAGAGCAGGCCTTGGCAGTTCAAAGGCCGTGAAAGGTCAGCTCTTGCTTGCAGTGAGGAGTCAGACACTCCCCGGGGCTGGCAGCAGCCCTGCCTGGTCTGTGGGCTAGAGGCTGGCATGCAGCAGAGGCTGGCCACACTCAGGTTTCAGGATGTCCTTTCTGCAGTGCTCCTCCTGCAAAAATCAAAGCACAAGTTTTAAGGCAGAGGAGCACCATTCTTATGTGCTGAAAATGTTTTCCACAAGCACCCAGTTAAATCAGCACCTCCGCATCCATAAGGATTCCTTGCAGCTCCTGGGTGCATCTCCAGTCCCTCCTCCCATGAAAAGCTGGTGAAGTAAAGGAGCCATTTTCACCACTTCTTCCTTCCCCATTTCCTTTCCGAGGTCCTGCAAAGCATTCCCCAGCGTGTCTTTCAGTCACCGCCTGCCCTGCACTCATCTCTTAGAATCCCCTCAACATGTCCCTGAATCACAGTCAGGAGAGCAGGCAGAAAGGGGAACCTACACACAGGGTAAGACCATGAGATCTCTGCCAGGAAGGAGAGGCTCTCTGATAGAGATCTCTCGGTTCCTGAAGCACACAGACAGCCAAAGTGAAAACGCTGCCACCAGATGCAAAAATTTCAGCTCTCTCCCCTTACCTTCTGCTGCTGCAAGGCTCCAGCACTTTTGGGAAACAGGCTCCACGTGGAGCTTCTAGACTCTCCTCCTATCTCTAGAGGCTTTCCTACTGCTGCCCTGTGCAGTCCAGATGAAAGCAGGTCCACCTGCACGCTTTGCAGCTGCTCCTGCAAGAGCCTGGTAGGGAGAGTGTAGCAGAGATTTATTTCAGCTTCAGTTTCCTCTTTCCTCCCCCTTTAGAAAGAAGAAACAAAAGCCCAGAAGAATATGTTATATTAATTTATTTGGGACACACCAAAAAAGGAAAGTCAACAACCGTTAACGTACAAAAGTACAGAATCCTGGGACAAGATTTACTGTCCTGATTAAAAAGGCACCATGGTCCCAATGAAGAGTAATCAGAATACATCATTATAGAAATCTTCCCCCTGTTGCAGCAGAAACAGAGCCAGGCTTTGGCTCTATCCACAGTCAAACCCAGTTAAGAAACGAACATGATTTAAATGCAATAAACACTGCTCAGCCTGTACAAGATGTTATGAAATGAATCACAGCCTACAATACGATCATTTTTTTTTTTTCCTCTGAAAACAGCTAAGGTGACAAACAAGTGTATCGCTGAGGAAGACAGCAGACTTCTGACTTCTTCACCTCGGCGTTCTGTAAGACACATCAGTTGAACTGAAACTGGTAGGCTGAGTATGGGGCTTCTGAATGCAATGCAGTTCCCTGTGGTATATGGGAAGTCAGATTTGACAACCTTAAATTCCCTGAATCCCTGAAAATCGTAAAGCACTACACAGCTGTGTTCCGTATTCTGTTCAGCCCTGTCGGGTTTACTTTACACATTAGCACTTATAACATCAGCTATATCTGTAATACAAAGGGGGGTTTACAGCAGTTATTTTAAAAATTCTAATTCTGCGAGGTCCGAGCTTGGCTATATTCCCTGCTGAAACAGAGCTGCTGGTGTAGAAGCCCAGTGAGAGGCTAGAGTCCAGCATCTCAGGGCTGGAAGGCAAATAGTTTCAACGTGACATAATTTGCAAGGGGAAGTCAGTGAAGCACGTCAGAGAGGAGAGGGCTGCAATCTCTCAAGCAGAGGAGGCTGAAGGGTGTTGCAGAATGCGGGTACATGCTATCAAACCTGTAACGACACTAAGAGTGATGCAGAATACACCGAGTTCACTAAATATTTTGGAGCAACTTACCAAGAACTCGTCAGACACACAATAAGGATCCCGGCAATTACTAAGGAGCAAGTTCACTGGGAAGCTGATGTATTGCTCAGAGCCGGACAGATCCGTCCTCAGGAGGAGGGACAAAGTGGATGCAGCTGGAGCCTGACTAAGCAGCTGGGCCAAAGGCTGCTGCTGCCTCCTCTGCTTCCTAGCCCTGCTGCACCTAAATTTGAACAGCAGCTGATTTGTGTTTCATTCCTCCTTTGGCATAGGACTTCAAAGCAGTCCAAGAACCGTTTCATCAAAGTAACAGGAACTGTCAAAATTATTTGTACATGCATTTATTGTTAAAGGAAGCAAAAGCTAAAGAATGAAACAGTGCGAGTTAATAATCAGTAAAACGATATGCAGGACATTGAGGAAAGAAATGGGGTAAAGCTGAGATACTGGAGTGGGGAAATGTTCACACTGAAAGGTAAATTTGAAAACCAGGCAAGTTTGAGCTCTTTCTATCAGAGTGTTTCTGAGGACAGAGACTTGCTTCATTTTTGTTTGTTTGTTTTTTAAATGTAATCTGGCAAGGTCTGGGAATCTCACCAGGGAGACCCTCCAGTGCTGGGTTTTGTACAAATTCAACTCTCGTATTTAAAAACCAGTAAAGCAACCATAACTAAAAACAGCAGATACCCTCGTACTGCATATATCTAAAACCAGACATGTCACTGCTTAAGATACACATGGGCAAGAGGATTATACTTCTCTCAAATAAACTCTCGGTGGAAAACTACCATTTCCACTCTGCTGGTCAGCACGTACCTACAGGGGATGGAAAAGCAAGTCCAAATTAAGGAGCCTTTTGCTGCAAATACCACAGCTACACACGGGAAGATTGTTTCTTCCCTATATCCTAAGACGCCAGGATAATATTTTATAAAGTTTTTCCCATATTAAACTAAATAATGCAATTTGCATCTTTTCCTCTATCTTAATACCACCCCCCTCTCCCCAGGAAGATAAAACTATCAGTTCATTTAGGATTCACATCTCTGATCCTAGCTT